CAATTGTCCGGTTCCATTGTAAGCATTCCTGTATTCGCAACATAATCAGTCCCCGCAAAACCTCTGGCTTTTCTAGCCTTCTGATCAGTCTCAGTTCTTTCCTACTCGAACCGCTTCAGCGTGGCCTCCTGTTCTGTATCGACTGTACAAATACTACCTAATTCTTGAGTAAAATTCTTAGTACTGGTGCTCTCCGGCAACTTCCCCTTGTTGTCGACCGTTCCGGCCGCTGCAACAATCCCCGTTTCCAACTGTTCTTGCTTCGGTTGAGACCCCTCATCCATATTTGGTTCATCACTGAGCCACCCTGTATTATCCGTTGATCCGTTCATACCAAACCAACCAATCTGTACATTCCCCAGATCCTGTTCATCAAAGAACTACAGATTACTGATGTCCTCCTCAAGCTCAGCTAAGTCATCCAGTCCCTGGCTTGGCCCGTCCTCCCAGACTACATTAACCTTCATCCCCATTGGCAGTTCCACCCCTGGTCTGGCTTGGCTTGTTGGCACAATCACTACAACAAGTTGGGTCTTGAATGACGATTTTTTTTGTCTTCAAAGAGTTAATTTCGTCACTATAGATATTTGTGACGAAATATTTTCGTCACCGGTTTCGTCATTGAATGTTTGTCACTAAAAACCAACGTGACGAAAAATAATTTCGTCATCAATGAAATTACTTCAGCGACGAAATTTTTTGTCACCAATAAAAGAACATTTTGTCACAAAAAATTCTCATTTTCGTCACTAAATAGGTATTCAGTACCATATTTATAACTTTGGTTGACGAATAAATTTGTCACGCATGTTGATCATTGATGAGGAAATAATTTCGTCACAATAAGATGTAAAGATGACGAAATTTTTCATCTTCAAAAGTCATAATTTTTTGTCACCAATAAAACAACATTTTGTCGCCAAAAATTCTTATTTTCGTCACCAAATAGTTATTCAGTACCATATTTATAACTTTAGTTGACGAATAAATTTGTCACGCATGTTGATTATTGATGAGGAAATAATTTCGTCACAATTAGATGTAAAGCTGACGAAATTTTTCGTCTTCAAAAGTCATACATGTGTGATGACGAAATATATTTCGTCACAAATATATATATACGTGACGAAATTTTTAGTCACCAAACAACAAAATAAATAAAAATTTTCATATATAAACTACAGTAAATTTTGTCACAAAAAAAGTTTATGAGTGACGAATAATCACTTTGTCATAATAACAAGTACAAATGACGAAACAAATTCGTCACTAAACTTGTTCCATATTTTATATTCAATTTTTATAGTTTATGCGGTAGAAATAATTAAAAAATGATTATCTCAAAGTTGGGTTATATCTGTTTTTTAATTATTAACTTTAAATTTGGAAAAAAAAAAAGTGCACCAAACAGGGAGCAATACTAGAGGTATTTAAATTTGTTTACCTAATATATATTCATATACCTTATGTGTGAGAGGGAGTAAAATAGTAAATAAAATTTTAGTTACACATAACATTATTGACAAACCGACAATGCTAGGTAGCTCAAATTTTTGTGGCTCAAATGGCTCAAATCTGTCAAAACGACGTCGTTTTGACAGATTTGAGCCATTTGAGCCACAAAAATTTGAGCTACCTAGCATTGTCGGAAAAAAAATTCAACAGTTGATCTTCATTTGCAAGTATGCTTCCGAACGTCATCAAAACCAATCTGCAAAGAAAATAAATAAGGCAAACATTAATATATTATCAATTACATCTAAACTCATATATAAATAATTTAATTTAATAAACCAATTTGGTAGAAATGCATATAACAATTCAAAACTTCAAAAAGTTGATGTGATCCTTGTTGATAAAACAACACGGAAATGGAGAGACTTAGTTGATGAGATGTATTACAAACAGCTGGTGGGTAGTTTAATGTATTTCACTGCCACGAGACTGGACATGATGTTTGTAATAGAGAACAAATAAAAAAGAAAAACATGGTAGTATTTTGCACATATACAAATATACAAGTGTCCTTTATGTTTCACAAAATGATTTTGAACCCCAATCTAATTTAGCATAGTTGCCTCAGATCATATGAAATCACTGCAATGCCCAATATGACTTAACAAATATGCACTTGAATACCACTCCTATAAATGATAGAAAACTGCAAGCTAATTGAATTCGTACTCTTAGACCTTGAAATTGCTGCAATACTGCCTATAATTGGACAAAGTACATTAAGCACTATAGCCACAACTGATTCAAAATGTGGAACAGGCTCCCTCTGTTTTTCAAGTCACAATTGAAAGCATTGTGAATGAGGGGATGTATTAGAAGCAAACATGCCATAATATGTCCGTAGGTGCAACATCTTGTCAACAATACGTGTATATTAAAGTTCTTACCAAAAATACATGAAGCACCAACCACTCATCAGGTTTAACAACATACACTAAAGGAGCCAGTAGCTGCACAAGAAACTGCTGCACCAGCAGACTCCAGCAGGTTTAACATGTAGCAGTAACTGCACAAAACCAGTAGCAACACCAGCAGCGCAAAAACCAGTAGCAACACACACCAGCAGACTCTAGCAGCACCAAAGAAAGGATTACTTATCACATTATTCAACTCGGTCCCAACTGAGTTCAATTTATGTTTTGCTTCTCAATCTTAATTTATGAGCCGAAAATCTTTACTAACCCAATCTAGTGTAAAATACAAACAAATTGGCAAGAGGGAATAATAGTGGAAGAGAAGGAGAAGGATTTTCTAAGAGTGTAAAACTCATAATGACTCCTATAATAGGTTTCGTGACAAGTAAACGTATTATATCAGTTCACTCGTCCTGCCTAAACATGTGGTGTTATTTGTTGCACAAACTTGATACCTCTGTCAACTGCCCTTCGATGGCAAAAACTGTTTGTGAGCCTATCTTTGATGCAGTGTTCCGGGTTGGACCCGACAGTAAGAGCATCTGGTTATGGAATATCTGCCTAGATCTGCTTGATGATTTTATTTTGATAAGAATTAGCGATTTGGATGATGACTTAAATAAGCAGGTAAATTATGAACCATTAGCTAAAACCCCTACTACTGGACCTCCAGTATTTGTTAAATGCTCATGGAAGCATTATCCCATTAAATGGTTGTCATGGGATCTGAATCGTTTGGACTTTTGCATAAAGATGATTCGTGTTCTCATCAGTCAAGGTCAAGGATCAATGGTGACTGTTCCCAAGGAAATCAACAGTTTGGCATGTAATGCTGCCTTGAGGATATTCAAATCTGTCCTGAAAGGAGTCCAGAACGTGTTAAAAAACTCATCAATTAATTATGATGAGGTTATGTTGTGTTTGAATACAATTTTAGGGTTGGTAAAGGAGATATCTTAGTCAGGTAGAGCTGGGTTGGGATTGACAGCAAACACTAGTGTACGTGTTTACAAGCTTAATCATGTTCCAGTCCCCACCCGTTACCATCTCATTTACCTAAAAAACTAGCACTAGAAGATGGTTTTTTGTAATGAAAACTTTCTGGTCAGCAAGATGGAAGCAATAGGAAGCAACACCAACAAACCCCCCCCTCCGCGCGCGAATTAGGGCCTACTTGCCAACCTTTTAGAATTGACTTCAGTTTTTCTACATCTGAAATGGCACTGACAATAGGATTAGCATTAATCTTAATTATGGAAACCCCATAATTTACTTTTAAATTACTTATCCTATCAAGAGTTCCAATGATTGAGTAAACATTTTATACTGCTCTGAATTATGATGCTATTAACATAATGTTGTAACAATGACTAAATTTTTTTTTCATAAAATTGCAATTTTTAAAATGCTAAAGATCTGTAAACATTTTCATCTTTAAAAGTTACTTTCTTCGATACTATCCTGTGCATTGCAATTCGCATTGTTCAACAGCTATAGAAATATTAACTTTGCATAGAAACTATAAGGGCAGTTTGGTTATAAACATAATTTATTCCTCTTGCTACTTGACATAAGAAAACTTTAGCTTTTTGCCAGGGGATGTTGAATAAGAGCAAATCAACTAAAATCTCGGGACACATAACCAAGAGATAGATGTATCCTAGATGAAGATATTTGTTCTCCTATGAACTTAATGATTTTCTTGTTTTTTGAAATAAAATATATGTATATAGATAAAACATTTGAACATACCTTTTGGGGAAAAATAGATTGCAAGGTGACTTTTGGGGAAAAACATAGTTCTAGGTTTCAAAATAAGCAGACGGAAATGGAGACTTAGTTGATGAGACGTATTACAAGCAGCTGGTGGGTAGTTTAATGTATCTCACTGCCACGGGACCGGACATGATATTTGTTACTTGTCTCATAAGTACATATATGGCAAAACCAATGGAAATTCATCTACAGGCAGCTAAGAGAGCACTTTGATACTTAAAAGGGACTATGAACTATGGAATTCATTATAAGAAAGGAGGAAATGTTGAGTTGTTGGCGTTTACGGATAACGACTATGACGGAGATATTGACGACAGAAAGAGTACATCTGGTTACGTGTTTTTAATGAGTTCAAGTGTTGTTTCATGGTGTTCAAAAAAGCAATACAATCCAAAAGAATAATTAAAGCAAATAAAAAACAGCAGCAATCATAAAGTCATATACAAAACCTGACCAACCCACTACCTGAGACTCAATAAATGTTCATTCATTTCTACTACTGTGAAAATCTCAATCAGAGAGACACCCATTATTAATCACATCACTAACTTAGAGCAACTCCCAACACTGCCTAGCAAAAATACACAAAAAAGTAAACACATAGTTTTGTCTCTACTTCGGTTAGTCTGTATTTTAACTAGGGTCATGCTAAGTAAGAATTTTGATAATGAATCTATTTTCATTAAATACATCTTCAAACTTGTTAAATCTTAGTTAATAAGTAGTCAAACTACTGTACTTTAACTAGTATATACTAACCAACATGAGAAAAATAAAATGATAAAACGAGCGAGATCACAGATAGCTCCTCCGGAGTAATTGGAACCACACCAGGTCGGGAGCAATGTTCAGCTTGGATCTTTATCATATTATCCTGTCATAAAAAAAAATTAGAAAAATGAATAAAGATACAATTATAATTGCAATCATCCTAATACAAAAGGTAAATATACATACATAATTCTCTTCGCACTCCGGAGAAATCCACTGCTTTGTGACATCATTAAAGTGTGTAGATTTGTAAACACATGGCAACTCTGGCAGTTGGCCCCCATTTGCAATTGTCTGATTTTTTTTGTTCCAATAGTAAGTGAAATAAGAACGATGGTAGTAGAATCATCTTTATTAAAAAAAAAAAGGGGAACAAAAAATTAAAGAAGACCCACCGCCTCGTGTACCCTAACTGGGAGAGATTTTGACCCACATCTATGCTTCGTTTTCAATTGATTTCTATTGTCAATGTTAGCATTTGATTGCTTCTACAAGGAGCAGGTTCCAATAGAAAAATATATATATTAGGAAGACAAGGTAATTGTCAACAATAAATAAACATAAGAAAAGTTTACCAGCCAATTGGTATCATTCCACTTCTTGTCAATCAAGTTTTTCCATTTTTCGAGGTCACATTCAGGCGGTGGGTGGCTTCTAGCATACTCCTCTCCCTTAGCACTTTTAAGGTTCAGGTATTTTTTTCGTAGTCTATAGGTGTGGCTGCTCAAGCTCCGTCCACACTTTGTTGCCACCGCTTTCCTAACATTAGTGGATTCACCTTCCATGTCAAATTGATCCTAGCAACAGCCACAAATCTTGTAAGTCATAATTAATTATATTACATTAATTCAATCAATTATGTAAAACTTTTACCGTTAGACGCTGAAACATAGGTGCCATAACTTCTTCGTTGACATGTTTCCACCTGCGAATGCTAAAGTCTGGCAAGTGTGTTCGAACCTCAACACCAATTTTGGAGACTAATTTAGAGGCATGATCCCCCACTGGCGCAAGATACTCCTGTGGTATGGGAACTTTGAGCTTTCCATCTTTCTCAACCATTGCTTAAACCTTAAACCCGCGTGTCAAGCCACGAGGGTGTCTACTAGGCACTATTGTAAAGACATTACATTGACTGGTTAGTAATTAATTAAAGCGAAATCCTAAATGAAGCAACTTTATTTTGTTGTTGTTGAATAAGTCATAAAATAATATGATAACATATAGAGATATACAAGGGGTATTCCCCGACCTTACAATTTTTGTTGTTGTTGAATAAGTCATAAAATAATATGATAACATATAGAGATATACAAGGGGTATTCCCCGGCCTTACAATACCAAACAAAAAAACTAGAGCTTTACAAGAGAAACAAAACCAAACAAATAAACTAAACTAAATAAACTACAAAGAGAATCATCCTAAAATAAACCACATAGGAATGTTCATTCGCCACATGAGGAAACAAAGGCTATGAACACTCAATAGACTAGCCATAACAATACAAAATACATTTGCACAACCCTCAAGAGAGAAAAAGCAAGCAAAACTAGAGATTAAGTTGTGTGGATTAAAAGCTCTTCAGTCTGACAACAAGAGAAAGTACTCAAAACACGCTTGACTTAATGGGTATCTAAATGCCAATGATGGTTCCGAAATGAAATCATATGTCACAAAACAAGCAATATTGTGTACAAAGGTTCAATTGATGAAGAGAATAATTTGAAGCCATTAAAAATGGTAAAGTAAACTGTGTTCTCTGTTATATCAAAGTCAATGGCACACCCTTATCTAATGTTACTGTAACTACTTCAAAGTAAATTGCTAAAGTAAACTGTGTTCTCTGTGTAAATTGTGTTACTGTAATGGCATAAAGGTGATGTATTAGGTGAAATCAAGTTCATTACACACTAAGTTAGGTGCTAAACCAGGATACTTTGTGCAAACTGTGTTACTGCAATGATAACACAGTTTACACAGAGAACACCTAATGATCACTGGTTTAAGCATACATCATTACAGTAACACAGTGCATAATGAACTTGATTTCACCTAATACATCACCTTTGGTGACAGACTGATTTCGCTTTGGTTTGTAAACAATGGATGGTTTGGTTTGTACACAATGGATGGATGTTTGACTTGAATGGATGGATGCATTTGTTTTGTTATTGATATCAAAACCAAAATAGATTGCAAGACCAAAACAGAACAGATATATTGCAACAGATATGGATGGATATTTGACTTGAATTGATGGTTTAGACCAAGTAGCATCGATGGTTACTGTACGCAGTCTTATTTCTTAAAGATTCAAAATACGGCTTGTCATTGCAAGTGTAACAAGAGTAATGACCCTTTGTTCTCCATCCAGACATGTCACCAAATGCGGGCCAATCATGTATCATCCACATCAAAGCTGCACGCATGCAGAAAGTCTCACCAGTTGAGGCATCATAGGTTAATGTACCATTTTTCCATAATTCATTCAATTCATCCACCAAAGGTCTCATGTAGACATCAATATCAATTCCTGGTTGTGATTCACCAAGAATAAGTAATGACATCATGAAAAATGGGTCCTTCATAGCCAACCACGGTGGCAAGTTGTACGGAATGAGTACGACAGGCCACAAACTATATGAGTTATTCATATTTCCAAAAGGGTTGAACCCATCAGTAGCCAACCCTAGCCTCACATTCCGAGGCTCCAAGGCAAATTCAGGATGTTGTGTATCGAATTCCTTCCACTCATCACTATCTGCAGGATGCCTCAATACACCGTCATCTAGACGTTTTTCATTGAACCATTTCATATCCTCGGCTCTCTTCCTCGACATGTACAACCTTTTCAATCTCGGTGTTAACGGGAAGTATCGAAGAACCTTACGAGAGATCTTCTTACCTCTACCATGATTTGTCTTGTATCTAGAAGCCTTACAATTTGGACATTTATCCAATGTTGCATTCCCCTTCCAAAAGAGCACACAATCGTTTACACAAGCATCAATGAGCTCGTATGACAAACCCAATTCACGTAGTATTTTTTTAGCTTCATAAGTTGACTTTGGAACCAAATTATCCTTCGGTAAAAGTTTTGTTAAAAACTCTAGCATCATGTCAACTGACTTATTACTCCAATGGTTTGTTACCTTCATATTAAGTATCTCGATGACAAATTTTAACAAAGTGTAATTTGTGCAACCTGGGTACACCTCACGTTTGGCATCATTCAACAATTTATCAAAAGTGCGAACCTCCTCCTCTTGAGTTGTATTAGTTGATTCCCCTCTTATTCAATCTTCCACTAAGGCATCAATACCTCCCAAAACCTCATTGCCCTCAACGGGTATATCATGATGATAAGCCTCATTTGATTCACGGGATTCCCCATGCACGTGCCAGATAGTGTAAGTTGGAATAATCCCATGTTGCAGCAAATGAATTTGAACAATTTGAAAATTATGACGAACAACATTCACACACTTTCGACAAGGGCACAAAATTTTACCATCTCGATCGATAACCGCCATTGCAAAACGGAGAAATGATATTACCCCATCATTATATGCCCGACTTATCCTTCCATCAACTGTGCTACCTAATGCAATCCAACTCTTGTCCATGTCTGACTATGCCGAGTTAATTAAAGTTAGGTGAATAGGACAAATTTTATATAGAAAAATATATATATATATTTCAATTAAAAAAAAATTCAAGTCCAATGATTATACTGAGTTATATAAATTACAACCACACATAAATCAAGTGAGAAAATAGCCAAAGCAATTTAGCCTAAACAGAAGAAGTATTCATAACCAAAACATAAACCACAGCAAAATAACCATCAATAAGAAGACAAATATCATAAGTCAGAGAAAATTTAACCAATAAAACAGTGAGCTGAGAGTAAAAAGCAGATAACATGACACAAAAAGAAAACCCACAATATGCCACATTGAGTTTCTAAAGCAGTCAATTTAAGTACTCAAATATCCAAATGCAAAATGATATGATTGAACTACACGTATTTGGAAAAATATATATATGCCCCGAATACCAGAATTGACAAATCTATCAACTAAATTGGGATATTGAAAAAATAAGACATTGGGAAACAATAACTATTCTGGCTCACATTTCACTCGGTAAACAAAATGTGATTAAATTTTGCAGAGGAACTTAATAATGTACTTGAGGAGCTATGCATATAAGAAATGAACAATGCCAATATAATTGATAGCCACATGCGACAATTCCAATGAATGCCCCGAGACTATAATTTAGTACTTAGCCTGTAATTGCAGTTAGTACTCTGTTTGATTTTCTCTTTACTCAACTATATACGAAGTCCAGAGAAGTTAAAGCAACATATGCTAATTTAAGGGTGTAATATTCCAATTTTCATTAAATTGATAGTTGTGAGAGAAAAAATAATTAATTAATATGTAATATATAATATTTTATCTTATTGATTATTTTAATATTTTTTATTTTTATTGACTATTTTAGCCAAAATCTATCATCCCAAACATATAGACTCAAACTCCCCTAAAAACTTAGAA